TCATAGGATCTCCCGTTCTTATCTTTTCTCTAGTAGACTCCATTGGTGAGTAGTCAGCTATCCTAACCCCTCCAGCCCTTCCCCCCTGCACATCCTCTTCCTTCTTTACATCATCTCCTTCTGTTTTCTGTCTGTCTGTGTCTGTCTGTTTGAGCCTGTTTGTCTGCTTTCTGTCTGCCTTCCSTTCCCCTCCCTCCTAGCCCCTTCCCCYTTCTCCTTTCCCATGACCAGTCTAAGTCCTTATTCCAAATCCTTATTCTTCCCTTTGAGAGTTTAGGCTATACCCACATTGTGTCATCCCTCCCTTCTCATACTAGTGTAGATCAGCATTACCTTTGGTACTCAAGCGTTTAACAGTGTGAAGATGTCCGGTTCCCATGGGTGCCGTAAAAAGCGAAACTGGCTAATGCTGCCAGAAGGTTCTACTCCGGGTTGAATTGTGAGGATCCCGGCCTCAGCTATTCTCTTTTCGAATCCAAACAAAATTTCATCAAAAAAAAAAAAAAGACAAAAAAAAGAAAAGGCATTTTGCCTTTGTTTTTTTTGTTCTTTTTTTCGGAATCTGTTTCTCACGCGACTCCCCGTGAGAGGTGGGGGGAGCAATCTATGGGCCTCGTGCAAAATGAGAATCAATTTTCCGCTACAACATGGAAAGATACACGGCCATGATTTGTGTCTTTTGAGCATGTCGAGAGTAGTGGGAGGACGCCCTATTGCTTTGTCAGCCCCCTTCTTTTCAAGGCATTCTATCTTGCCCCATACTGCAATTATAACTCGTTTTTGTGACTCTACTGAAGTTACCCCTTTTCTTTTTCATTACGGGTCGTTGGTTCCCCGACCCCCGTCCAATGCAGCGCGTTAAAGGCCAAGTGGTGGTATTAACATGCTATTGCAACCCGATATGAGGAATGCACTTCTAATAATAAGCATGAAGAATGCAGTTTTAGGTATCACAGGCAGTGTCTAATCGCCTGGCCCCCTGGCCAAGGTCTAACATATGCAACGTCAGGGCCACCACAACTTCTGGCCCTAGCACTACCAAGCTTACTGTCTGGAACATGACACATGCTGCCCGAATGGCTGCGTCCCCGCGTGGAACGCGGTATAACAGTTTGGTACCGGTACCGGTAGGGGCATATGCAACATGTTTGAGGCCCAAACGACGCCAGGGTTTTTCTGGAAACATCATTCGTCGTCAGAGGGGCGCGACAAAGTAAGACGGCTGTCAGTTGCCACGCAAACTTTAGGGGCATTTCGAAAATTGTCTCCTTTTTTTTTCCCTTTTTTCAAAAAAAAGGGGCGACGGCCTTGAGATATATAAAAAACAAAACAAAACAGATATATCATCATTAAACCGCCAGTCCCGCCGACAGCCGAACACGGGTCTGTATTTCAACAGTTCATGGGTGTGTGGTCCCCACTGAGCTAGGGTCTTGGGTAGTTGGTGTTTTTTTTGCGTAGAATAGCGCTTGAGAAAGGAAAAAAAACCATGTCCCTGTTTATTTGAAGATTTTCAAAAGATTCTCCTTTGTACGTTGATGTCTTCCAAGCAATCTTCATTTGCCATCCAATACTAACGTTCGGTCGCTCTACCGGTAGGAGAATTCGGGGATGGTTGGGCCGCTATAGAAAAAAACACAAGCAAATCGTAGCATTCTATTCTATGGCCGTAGATGAATTACATCGACGCCCAGGACGATGTCGTTCGTACATCCAATGGAAATCCTAAACGTATCCAAATTTCAAGCCCGCCGAGGACATAGCGAGTCAGTACTAAAGCTCGCTATGTGGCATGGACACGCACCTGTTCCTTCGACTCGCAGACCTGAACGCTGCTAACACCCACATACACACACAGCCACATAGCGAGTCAGTATCAACATCGATCGAATCCGCATTAACCTCTCGCATGGACATTGACATCGAGCCAGGTCACCCCTGTCTCTCTCTCCTCGTCCTGTCGCCTCTCCCTTCCTCTCTTCCCCCCCTTCCCCTCCTTCCCCCCCTTGCCCCCCTTACCCCCCTTCCTCTCCACC